TTGACTTTAATAATTTCCAAAGGCTATTTAAGGGTAGAATTGAGTGGCAAGTTAGGCATCTGATTCAATCCCCTTAGTTTGCTTCTGCCTGCCTCTCAGAAGTGACTTGTATGCTGTTGAACAAGTTTAGGACAAAAATTATAGCCGATCCACAAAAAAAACACTCCTAGATTTTCAACATCTTCTAATTCATCTAGCATCGTTTCTTTCCATATTTTCCATTGCACTTCATTGTCATTAGCTCAAGCCATTTAAGTTCACATTAAAACAAATCTATGACTTCACAGTGGGTCTCCTTGTTTTCAGGATTGTTGAAGGGGAGCACACCTTCTTGGTTTCACCCAACTAATTAGCAACTTTGGAGCAAGTCCTTTGGCAGTGTTGAAATTGCTCTTTTCACTCGTATAGTAACGAGAAATGTTCATTCAGTCATCTCTTCTGATATCCTATGACAAATTTCATACTGCCTTTTTCCTAAAGGGCCAGAAGTACAAATATGGACCAGTATCTCAGGGAACTGATTCCCTAGTAGGATAGTCCAGCTCTTTGGAAATTCCCAGGAATTAAAAAATGACTATAAATATAAAACCATAACAAACACAGAACCATCATCTTAAGGTACAATAAATACTTTTAATCAAATTAATTCATTCTGAATTTAGGATATACTGATTTTTTCTTTCCATATTTTCCACAGGACTATTTTACAAATGAAAATAGAGAGTTGAAAAAAGATGATCAGCAAGATTACCATCTAGAATATGCCATGGAAAATAGTACACACACAATAATTGAATTTACCAGAGAACTACATACATGTGATGTAAATGACAAGAGTATAACGGTAAGGAATCTGTGTGGATCTGTATGTGAATAAATTAAATATTTATGGTGTAAAATGCTTTGCAGAATAAAAGGAACAAATATTTGAATATAACTTTTGGCAACAAAGCCACATAGTGTGTTTTTTAACTATGATTTTTATTTTTTGTGTAGAAGAATTGGGGTGTAGGCCAGAGGTGCAGGGGGTGAGAGGATTCACTAGAGACAGAATTGGCGATATGGTAGGCAGATCTACTGAAATACACTGCTGAGGGGAAAGCAGAAGACAAGACAGACCATTGTGGTGGAAGCCCTGAGACTTAACCCCTTCGTCACCAGGAAGGACCCTCGTACTTTTTGAAATGATTTTGAATTCTCTTTAAAGTTATGAAAAAGTCAAAGACAGTAAATTTTAAGAAAGGCAACTTGTATGTGATTCTAAAATTTTGAAGAGTTATTTAAAGTCTAAGATATTTTTTATAAAAGGCTTTAAGCTTTTTTGTACAAAATTTAAAAATAGGCAATAAATAAAGGTTGAAACAAATGTATAAGAGAGAATTATACTAATTATTAAGATATAATTAATGTGATTTGTAACTGATTCATCTTTGTAAATTTTCAAAATCAAAATGAATAGTAGATGATGAAAATTGCCTATTGATATGTGAGATATCATGGAAAAATCAATATCTTTATACATATGCAAATTAAATATTTAGATAGTACATTATTCATATGGAACTTTGGAAGTTTCCCTCAATTTCTTGGATTGATTTCATTTTGTATAGACCAATAAAATTATCTGTTTTATTTAGTACTATCAGCTTTCAAAAAGAAATGTGAAATTCTGAAGCAGCTTTGATTAACATTCAGCATGAAGAATAAAAGAGGAATTAAAAAAAACACACACACATGCCAAGACATGGATCACATTTTATGTAATATAATATCATGCAATTATATTTTAATTTGAATAATAATTATAGTCATTTGACTTATTAAGAAAGAATATAGCATTTAAAATAAATGCTTTTGCTTTATTTTTTTTAAAGTTCTTATTACAAAGATCTGGCAAAACCACCTTTATCTGTGGGAGGAATGAACAGTTTCTTTTTCCACAGCAAACTCTTTCCCCTACCCTACCACCCTTTGGGCAATTTCTCTTGGTTGCTTAATGGAAACTAGTTCATCTGACAGTACTTTCCCTAGTTGGGATATCCCAGTACCTTGGAAATTCCCAGGTTCACAAAATGACTATGGAGAGATTCTAGGATAATAAACAAACTCATATCATAAAATCCTTTTGTATATTACCTTTTCTCTAGATTTCTACACTAATCTATAGAAAATTGTGCTGGGAAAATTCTGCTGTGAAAGTGGAAATCCTAACCTAGAAGTAATTTAGATTTTCATTGTCTGCATTTATTTTCCACGGATGTTTCATGGTATTAGAACAGGTTTTGATTTTTCAAAATCTTACTATTTAAAAAGAGTAATTTTCATTCTATGTATTTATTTTCCATGGATGGTCCATGGCATTAGAACAGGTTTTAATTTTTCAAATTAAATCTTGCTACTTAACTAGAGTATTTGCTCAGTAACTACTAGTTTGGAGTTTTAGCATGACCGTAATATACTGTTGATGTCTAAAAGCATAACTACCATGTCAACTATCCCTTACTCTGTATTGGAACATACCATCATCTAAATGTCTACTAAAAGCTTAATCAAATTTACATTATTAAAATAAAAGAACATATTGAGAACTCCAAAGGTCTTTATTCTCTTTTTTTCCACTTCTGTATCCTGTTGTAAATAGAGTTCCTTGAACTCAACTCAGGGGTAAGGAAAGTGCTTTCCTAAGATATAATCATGCCCATGTCCAATCACAGGAGAGCACAGTCAGAGTGATCTGGGCCTACCACCACGAAGATGTGGGAGAAGCGGGTCCCCAGTACCATAACTCCCACCGAGGCACCAAGAGTCTGCGCTTGTTGAGTCCTGAGAAAACCAATGTGTTGTCTTCAGCCACACCATACTTTGACCTGGTAAATCAGGACGTAAGTTTCAAGTTTTATGACTGTGGGAATAAAAGAACCTATACTTACATTATTTTATTTAATAGCATGTCAAGACAATGTGACTGTGTCCATTTTCCCTTTCTACTAAGACAGGTCCTAATCCCAAACAAAGGTACAACATACTGGTGCCAAATGTTTAAGATTCCCGTGTTCCAGGAAAAGCATCATGTGATAAAGGTATGTCACTCACTCACAGGCTAGACTTAATTTGTACAAGTGGAGGGAAAATGATTGTTCTTAAAATGAAGGTGATAAAAAATGCAGAAATGATTTTGAACTATGTGGAAGTTAGAGGCTTTAAAAACAAAGAACTGGCTTATTTGACTCACATAGCATTTTTTTTTTTAAGATTTATTTATTTATTCATACAAAGCTGGGGTACAGGCCAGAGTTGCAGGGGCAGTGAGAGGCTTCACCAGAGACATAGTGGGGGGCAGAACAGGCAGATCAATGAAGTACACTACTGAGGGGAGCAACGGGTGGGTCAGGAGAGGTCTGCCTCGCCATGTGGATCTCCTCTGGGGCAGGCTGGGATCGAACTCATGTGGAAGTGGCTTTCGATTCTTAGTGCTGCGCTTTAACCCGCTGCGCCACCAGGGAGGGCCCTCACATAGCATTTTTTTTTTTTTTAAGATTTATTTATTTGTGCATACAGAA